AATTAGGTATGTATATCATATTCTTTTTACACATTGAAGTGCTCTTAATTTACAGCATTATCTGAATTTGTAAAGAAGTTTGATTATAAATTGGACTTGAGAACACGTTGTCCTAAAGGAATTAAACCCATGGAAAAAAATGTACTTGTCAGTTTTTCTTTCAAGTTTTTTTTTCTAGGTTTTGTTTCAAGTCAGCAACATACTTTCAGTAATGTTATCAAGTCAATAATAGGAAACCATATTTTGTAAATTATGATTAACAGTTTTTCTAATACCTTGTTACATTTCCAAGATAACAATGAGATGGTTATGGAACGTTTTGTTGTCAGGGTTAACACCTTTAAGAACACAGTTCACCACTCCTGAGATGGAATTAACTTTTCTTTTCTACTTTGTCTTTTTTCAGTTTTCTGATTTTATACATTCATCATTTCCATCTACATTGCCTTGGATAAATGAATCAGCCAAAGTATCTTAAAATAGTAATGTATTTTTGTTACCTACAAAAAAGCTTTCTGAAAAATAAATTGCATAATTTCAGAAAGATCCTGCACCTTTTATGCCTAGGGTACCAACTGCTGGAAAACCGAGCATGTACAGTATGCTCGGTTTCCTGGAAAACCGAGCATACTGTACATACTCCGTCCTTTAATACTGGTCAATTTTATATGAGCAAGTAATAGAACTGAAGATCCCATCTTCACCCTTAAAGCAGCCTCTCTTGTTCATTCCTTTTTTAGTGAGACAAGTTTTGAAAGACTTGTTCTTTTGGCTAGGTGTATCATTTCCTCAGCCAGGAGAGTTAATGCAAAACACCAAAATAATAGGTAAATAAACCCTTCATATTTGATGTATCGTCGTAATTATAATATAATCAAACTATGGAACTATAATCTGCATCGTATGCTGCATTTGCTTTTCATCCATGGACTTGCACAAAATAAAACACAGTTTCTTAAAATGACATGCCACTTTAATGACTAGAAATAAAATCAGTAAAATGCATTGGCTGCTTTCCTGCTTATGAAGTGCCTTCTGGATAGAACATTACCTCCTCTATGCAAAATACACTGGACTCCTTTAATGTTAAGCAAATGGTGTCAGTATGCCGTTACTGGCAGTGGATTATATTAAGTGCCTGCAGTCTCTTGAAGAGCTCACACCTTCTTGAAAGCGCATGCATTTTACTTTAGAGTCATACCAGTGAAAAAACATATTGTGTGCAACTCCAGGAGTACTTGTATTTGGAACCATATTCCTTAACACTTGTGGGAGCAGTGGAAACTATACAGCAGGCTGAAACTGCATTAGTAGTAGTGGTGGCAAACTGGTAAGCCACAGTGTCACTCCTGCAGGTATTCCAGTACTGCAATGACTGGACAAACTCCAATGAAGAAAGTGCAGAATTTAACTTCATGGCCCAAACGTTGCGGTGACTGAGGTTCCTTTAGCCATGCAGCCCATTCACCTGAATGCCCTGCAACAGGCCAGCACTGTTGGAATTGTTAGAAATTGCACCACTTTGCCAGGTGCTGCCACTCATCTTCCAGAAGACCTAGTGCAGCATCAGCTTGAACTTCATCTCCAGCAGCAATTACCTCTGTGTCTCAGCTGGCCACTTTGTTCAAAAACCTGTGGAAGTTATGAATGATGTTCTGTTTCTTTTGCTTGTGGACAGCAGTGTTAAAGCGTCACTCTTGAACAAGATCACCTATGACACCTTTTATGCCCACATTCCTCTGACATGTACATCAGTGTTATTGTCTAGCTACAGACAAGCATCTATCCCTTACTTGGGTGCAGTCTATCTTCCTCAAAGGTTCCATGTTATATTTCACATGGTTGTCTTATTTCACAGTCTAGATTTTAGCCTCTCCAATCTCGCCAGTGCTGAAATACTGCAGGTCTTGTCATTACCCCTATTCTCTCCCACGTGGATGCAGTCCAGGCCCTTCCTGAACCTTGGTCCCCAGCTGGCATTATTTCTGGGCATTGCCACTTGCTTTCTGCCACAGTTTGCTTCAGTTACAGCACCCCTGCACCGGCGCCTGAGGGAGAAAAGCCCTTTGAGAGTGGACGTAGCCAGGTTGTGGAGACTCTTAAACTCCAGCTTACTACCACCTGCATCCTGGGTCACTTTAGCCTCACTGCACCCACAATTGTTATCTGTGATGCCTCTGCAGTTGCGCCGGGCACTGTCTTGTCTCACTTGCACAACAGCGTCTAGAAACCAGTGGCATTTGCTTCCTGCACTCTCACTCCAGCTAAGCAGAAGTATTCCACGGGCGAGCAAGAGATATTGGCCTTCACTGGGGCATGAGCGTGCTGGCATCTTTGCCTGTATGGGAGAGCTTTGACACTTTGCAGAGTTCACCAAGCTCTCACAGAGCTCACGAGCACTAGTGGCTCTGGGTATGAATCCCAGTGGCTGCTCTGGTGTGCTGATCATTTGCACCAGTAAAACTTTGCTTTGTAATTCACTCCAGGCTGGCAGAACACTGCTGCAGATCTCTCCTGAACAGTGGCCCCTCAATCTGTCCATCAGATCTCAGAGGCTGAACACGATCTGGTGCAGATCATTGTGGCACCTCTGTCTCCTGCCATCTCTTTGGAACAGCTGCGTGAGTGAGGGAGATGAGTTATCCTACTAGGAGTTTATCTGCATCTCCATTTGTCATTGTACCTTGATTCCAGAACCTATTACAGCAGAGATCCTGAAAATGGCTCATGATGGGTATCTGGGAGTAATCAAGCTGAAATAGCATTGCAAAGACATAGTCTGGTGGCTCACCATTGATCTTGACATTGAACTCTTTGGCAAGGATTGCACGGCATGTCTCCTCAGTGACAAATCATCACCCTCTACTCTGGTGCCTTTTGCCAGAAACACTGTTAAAGCATCTCCGTACCAAACTTCCTGGTGTTCCAGCCCATGCCTGCTATCTCCTGGTTGTGCAGGACCTCCACTCTAAGTGATCGGAAGCTCATTGTTCAAGGTGTAGTCAGAAGGCTGGACTGTTTGCTCACTGGATGTCATAAACACTGACAATGGGCATGACACATATATGTGACTGGCACATCTATCAAGCACATTCACACAGCGGTACAGAGACTGATGGTGAGCTTGAACCAAACATTAAAGCCTGGAATCTGGGCTAACGTGACTGAGGGTTGTCAATTTGACACACGGCCCTCCTACAAACCTTCCTACATTACCTAGCCACTAAACACAAAATTATAAGAGTGACTGCAGCTGGAATGCCTCACCTTCAACAAGCCTCTTCTTACAAGGGTAGAGCCTAGCAGCAGAAGCAGTTGTAGTTTGATAGGTCCTAGAGGGCAAAGATCCTTACTTTGCAGGGGCAGTACTGGATGTAGGTCGGTCTTCCTTGGCATAGCCGCAGACTACAGCCCTGGTGGTCAGAATCTGCATGCACTGTGATGAGGCTGAGAGGCGCCAGATATATTGATTGGATGAGGGGTGCAGGTGGAAAGCAAGCCACCTGCTGAAGCTCCCAGCTCCAGAAGACATTGTGAGTGAGGAATCATCGGCCCCTTTTCCGTGTCCAGCTGGAGCTGCAGCCAGGCCTTCAGACCACCCAGTATTTCCAGGTGAAAGGGACCCTGAGAGTTAAAGGCCCAGAGATGTGGACTGTTATGTTCTTTATGTTCTGTGATTTTTGGCAATTGCTGAATTACCAAGACCACATGTTCAATTTGTGTTTGGTTGCCATGGAGAGGAGTTCTGTAGTAATGGCATTAGCATAATGTGCTTGTACTGAGAGAACTATGTGTTCTTTAGAGACCTTGCATCCTGTCCTCTGCACAATACAGTATCTACAGAAGCCAATTATAGTGACACTGAACAAAAATATTTTTGTGTGTTAACAAGAAAACAATGCATTCTTTCACCATGCTTAATGTGTTGTAATAAATTAAAGACAAACCCTTCTCAAATGGTCCGTCGCTGCTTGACTAATTTAACCGTTTCATGATGAAAAATGTTAACATTTTTTACATAGGCAAGTTTCACTTCTGTATAATCCTAAGAGTGAATTTGTATCAGAATACAGTTGGCTTTCAATCATTTCTGTGCAACCATTTTTTCTCCCCTCAGATTACACACTTTCAGGAATAGTTTTACCATTACACACATTTAACAGCAATATTTGATAACCTGGAGTTCTACTTGATGTAAATTTAGATATAAATGACATGAAGCTCTCAAATTTTCTTCTGTTCAATACATAGTAATCTCTGAGGCTTCCTTTATTACCTCTTGAAGAAAATTAATGAATGATGTGATTTTAACACTGCTAAATTGCAGTCGTCACCCACAGGCACTTTACAAATGTTGACTACAATGGTGGCATAATTGTCATGACATTAAAAATGTGCGTAGATAAAGGTTATTGTAAAATACAACTTGGTATTGAAATTACGCTTTACTATCAAAGACGTCATTTTCTTAACCTACAAGAACAGTCCTTCAGGAATTAAGATGGCAATGATCACAAATATCAGACTATAGCAATAAAACTTCCCTAGCAGTACAATTTTGTTTTTCTTGATCAATAGAACACAAAAAGCTGGAAAGTGTCACATATTTAGGATGCTAGACTGTGCAATAAGAATAAAATTAAAGGTCTTTTTTGATTGAGTAACCATAGATTTTTTTCTCTTTTTTGATTTAAGGGGAAAAGGGTAAATGTGATATAAAGGTTTTAGGAATACAACTCAAGTGTATTCCATTAGGTGTTGATTGATCTTGCTTCCATTCAGAGAAAGAAAGCACTGATAGTACATCCAAAATGTACCAGCTGCAAACATTCAAATTATAATAAATAAAGAATCAAGACGATTATACAGCCTTGTGTATTTCTCATATTATGTAGGGAAGAACTCCAAAAAACTCCAAAAAAGCATCTTATTCTTTTCTTAAGAAATTTTATTTCTGTCACAGGTTTCACAGACAGTAATAAATCTATATAGCAGCAATATCAGCCTGGAGGCAAGCCCCACATTCTTTGTTATAATCACAGCAATACTGGAAAACACCAAGCAAGATAATTCATATTTTATACTTCAACACTGAACTGAAATTCAAATGAATACAAAAAATGCATTGATTTTTGGAGAGGCTAAACTTAAATTTGCATGTTGGTGCCATTATTTCTAAAATACTAAATGCACATTACTACACTTGAGAGATTTCAAAGGAGGACAAGTTAAATTATGCTTCCACAGACATGTCCTTTACAGTGCACAAGAAAATTGCGTTTTAAAAAATGTTACAATAAACAAATTTCAAAGTATATAGATATCATGCACCATGGCTTTTTCTTTAAAACATTAAAACGTTCTCCTTAGAGACTGAATAAAAACAAACATGAAATAGAATCCTTTGGCTCAAGTTTTTAAATGAAAAAAGCTTGCTAATTGCTTACTTCAATATCTAATTAATAATAAAACAAAAAACATCTATACATCAGAAAAGCTAAAGATGGTTTAAAATAAACAGGTATTGTCATTTCAGTCCAGTTGATTCCATTTTTGAGCTGATCTTCCCTGAGTCATATGCTTGCTTGCAAGACTGCCTACAAAAAATATGAACACAATAAATACCACAGCTTTATGCAACACAGTAAAATAAGTACCTAAATAAATTCTGAAAGTTTAAGTAGGAAATGTTTTTTTAACATAAGAAAACATTACCCAAAGCTCCATATAGTAAAATACTTACAAAAATAAAATATTTTAACAGTGGCTTGCCACTTCACTTAATTTTTTGTTTTATAGATGCATTTTCTGTTTCAATAATTGCCATGGAAATATTGTAGCGCCCTCGTCAGGTGACGAAGCGGAGGTGCCCCCGGCTAATGCATGCGCCACGGTGCAGGCTAGGAACTGTAGCCGGGAGATGGTCTGAGGGTCCACAGAGAAATCTAGGGCACCCTGCCTACAGTATGTAAATAGTGACTATAAAACCTCATGTAAATAGTAGTTAATTGTTTACTCCTGTTTTGTCCCTTGTCTTGTAACCACCCTAACCATGTGTAAGTGTCCTATTCACAGCCCTTCTGAGTGTGTTAGCCCAAGGAGTTGATGTGTATGTCTCTGTTGCCTGATTGCCGTCTGATAGAGTGCCGTTAATAAAGAAAATAGACAGAAAGAAAGGTTTCTGAGGTTGGTCTCTGCCTCTGCTAAAATCATTGCAGTGTTTGGTAGTATGTACGTATGCAAACCGTTTTTCTCATCAATGAAGATCAACAAATCAGTTTTACGGTCAAGACTCATCGATCAACATTAATGAGCACCATTGTGATTGGCTACTTCACGTGATATCAGGCCTAATGCTGACATTCTGGTCTCTGCACAATGCTGTCAAAGAAGCAGCCAGAATGAAGAACTTCAGAAATAACCTCACATGATATGGAGTCAATTGAAGAAACTTAACCAACATACCTCGAATAAAAATTTCAGTTTCTATTAATTTTAATATTTGATGCATTTTGTATGGTATGAATGCGGCCCGCCAATTAGCACATTTTATCTAATGTGGTCCCCATATTCATTTGAGTTTGAGACCCCTGTGCTAGACTGTCAGTCCTGAGCTAGGCTCAGTTAAGAGTGATAGTAAGATCGAGGGTCTCCCATTTACTATGCACATTAGTTAACAGTAGACTAGACACAACAGGGTGGAGCAGATGAAGTGCATGGTGCCAAAGAAGAAGAGTGCTGGAGTGTAAATGCAGTTGTGTGGCTACCTCATGCTGAGGGAAGGGAGTGAGAGTGACCATGTCGAAGCAGAGAGGGAATGAAGGTGTTGTTGTCTGTGGCTAGAGAGCAGGCTCTGCTGTGAACAAGCCAAGAGACTCTGTTTGGAAAGATAATAGTCGCTTTTATCAGAGCAGGTTGAAAGTGTGTGAGCCAGAGAGATGGGGAAGTAGAGGGGCCCTACACTCTGGAAATGCAAAGCATGGAGTGACAGAGAGGCCTTATCTGTGGTGGTAGGCATGCAGTAGCGACACCAGTGAGGTGCCACCAATACTCACTGTATGAGTTCTAAGAATTGAGTGAGACAGAGAAGTCTAGGTGAGAGAGATGCACTGGAAGCTGTGGGAATTCTGAGTGAGTTGTGAATAAAGGTTAGATGGACATGGAAGAGGGATGTTCCAGTAGCTGCAAGTGAAGAGCCTGACACCCAAGGATGAGGCAGTGGGACAGGTTGTGAGTTTTTATTGCGAGTGTTGCTAGTCTGGAGTGTGAGGTTGAGGGGCTAGAGACTTTGAGTAAACAGAGTTGCGATAATGAGACCCAGCCTGGTGGCATAAGGGACAAACGTCAGTGGCTAGAGGAAAACACGAAGTCCGAGTACTAACTGGCAGAGAGTGAACAAGCCACAAGTCATTGTGTGGCACCTCAGGGAGCAAAAGGTTCCAACAAAAGGAGGAGCGCAGAGAGAGACAGAGTCCAAGAGAGAACGATACTGGACTCTATGTGAGAAGTGGGATAGGGAAGCTCCTAGACAGAGCACAAGACATAAAGGTGCAGGGAAGACTCACAACGGGAAGAAGCTTCAGTTGCTGGCGTGTCAGCCCGCTGGTAAGGTAAAGGTGGAGATGGAATGGGTCCGGCTAAACAGGAACGACCAAGTGGAGGGTCTTCCACTGTTATTCCCTGAAAGGACCGACCTAATAGGAGCAAATATCAGTGGTATGAGATTTGCCGAGGACTTGGAGTTAAGGATAAGAGTATATCTCAAGTAAGGTCACAGAAAGGTCTGACACATGAGAGAAAATGAGTGTTGAAATGAAAGAGATAACACGTCACTGAGGGAGAAAACAGAAATAAGAGGCTCCGAGTCTGAGAGGCTATGGCTGAGGACTGTAAGAAACTAATTTATACCTCGTCTTTTTTGCCCTGACAAACAAGGGGGCCAAGTAATAGTATGCACTCTACTCTGACGAGTGGTGCAGGTTGGAGAAACCACTCTAAAAGTTAGAGCAAGAAGTTCCTCAACAGAGTGTGAAGGAGTTTCAGCCACTGTGGGCATACCTGTTCAGCACCCAAAGGGGTGTCTAAGACACCCAGTGCATTAGAAAACATATGAATGAATACTCATCAGAGGATGAACATCGTGTAAGTTTGACTCAAGCTAAGCATGTTAAATGTAAACATGAAAACTAAACCAATGAGACGCAAACATGCTCCAAAACAAATAGTCCCAATCCACCATCTGTCTCCTTTACTTTCCATCTACTCAATGTCACAGACCATCATAATGTCACAAAAATCATTCTGAATCAGGCAGCATGACCAAATGAAACACAAAAATATAATTTATGAAATAGAGAGCCTGCCAACAGTTAAAGACTACTGCTGTTCCCTATCTGGAATTCTCAACCCACTCTAGAAGCAATTGTGATAGAAGGGTCAGGATATTGTTCTATTGTAACAATACTCACACCTACACACCTATACATCTAGATACACCTGGCCCACTATAACAAAATCGATATGAATAGTAGCCACAAAAGATTCATAAAGCAAAAAACCCACCTTCTAACACATTCATTTATTACTTTATACCTGGTGTTTGAGAAAACAAACATATTTCTTAGGTTTCTCTGACTTTTTCATAGGATCCAACATATGTTAGAGTTGAAAACCGGTAATATTTTTTGTCCAACTGAGTGTGAGCATTTGTCTCTTGTTGGTTATAAATACAGAAGATGTTCACAGAATAATTAATATTCACAACAGAAAAAGTGAACATAGATATATCATTTTCATAAGAATAATAATACTAATAATACTACTAATTCTACTACTACTACTACTAATAGTTTGTCAAGTAAACAGCATGAAAAAAATATTCAAACCTGCTTGAGGGCTTAAAAATATTTTTGGCTGCTTCTGCTTTTGTTTTTCTTCCGGCTGATAAGTACCCTGAACATACAAAAGGACAATACAGTGTGTTATTAAAACTGTTGTACACAACACCAATTAGCACATGACATATTAAACATGAATACATTGTAAAACAGAGACAAACTACAGAGAAAAACATCTGCAATCAACAACCAAGAATCTGTATCTGAGTGAGGGCAAAACGAGAACCTCATACAGTATCTACACTTTTGGGGTTTAATTTGGAGTGTCACGTCAAGTATTAAGATAAAAAGTCAAAAGCTCTATAGCAATTTTCTATAAGCCATAATTTGCTGTAGTTTTCCTTGATGGAATTTAAATTACACCCTCCGCCTATGCCTATTCTCAGAATTATTACTTACAGAACTCAAATGTTAATGAATTGGTTGAACATTACATCTAAATGTATAGTGTAACTATAATAATGGTTATTTCATAGCTATATGTTTCATAATCATATGTTTGCATACTTTCATTTCTTTTATTACAAATCTGGTTGGTTTATCCAAAGCTTAATACATGCACCCATTTTTACAACTGGGTATGGTGCTGGAATAATTCACATGAAGTACATTACTAAAGGGTGTAACAGCAATGTCTCACTTGTGATTTGAACCTACAACCTACCAAATAGATTTAAAACCCTGACCGCTACTTCCATTTTGAAGAAACTGCAGTTTCATTGTTCTATCCTGGGGTTGTATAATATAGTAGCCTTCAAATTTTCTAAAACTCTGCACCCCTTAATGACAAAGCATGCCTTAAGTTTGTAGTTTAAGATGAAGTTTTAAGATTAATGATTTTTTTTTTCCTTTATGGAGAGAGCTGCTAGATTCTTCTGTGTATTAGGACCCATGAGGTGAGAGGCACTATATAAACACAAGGAATTCTTTTAGAAACCCATCCTTTTGACATCCTTTTGAGCTGACTGCAGTGAAACAATTGAGTAAAGTCAACTGTTACAAAGTCTACAAACTAGCATCATACTATCTTTTCTACCAGAGATTTTTTTAAATTAGAAGCACTTTACATGGAGAATCAATCCTGTAAAAAATATTTAAGAGAAAAAGCAAAATGTAGAAAAGAAGAACAAAAGTGTGTAAATTTAGAAAGCTACAGTGTATATACAGTTATATGCAAACCTCTGGGCACCCCTGGCCAAATAACATGTTTTGTTGACTTTCAAAGTGAAAAGAAGTTAACAACCTCTGCAGCTAACAAACAAACTATACATATTTATGCAAAGTTTAATGCAGTTATTATTTGCTGAATTTAACAGATGTGCAAAAGTTTCCAGTTGATCTACTAGTGTTATTTGTTTTGTAAGGTCTCAGAACTTAATTGACATGTTAGGCCTTAAACTAAGTCAGATGATGACAATTCCAGAGCTTGATAAATTCTCTGACTCTTTGAACCTCTCAGGGTGTTGTGCTTACTCTCAACAACCATGGGCTCCTGTAAGCAGCTGACTGAGGATCAGACAATAATCAAGAATAGAAAGACTGCTAGCTGGCTACAAGAAACGTTTGTAGGCTGCGATTTCTGCCAAAAGGGGGTGTTACTAAGTAGTGACTGATAGAGTGCCCAAACGTTTGCTCAGGCCACATTTACTGTTTGATTTTTTTCAATCTGTTAAAGTCAGCAAAAATAGTAACTGTGCATTACTATTTGCAAAAATATGTCTAAGTATGTTTGCTGCAGAGGTTGTGTTAACTTCTTTTCACTTACAAAATCAACAAAACATGTAATTTGGCCACTTTTGCATTTAACTATAATCACAAATTGTCCTTCAAGAAATGGGGTTAAAGAGGCGATTGTGGTTTTATTGATAACGCGATTCACAAAGAGCCAAAAATTCTGTGAATTCACAGCACCAAAAGACATTATGCCCTGTGCATGTTTCCAAGACATAAATACATTGTCTTTCTAGGATCAATATTTGATGTCTATGTTCCAAATCATTAAATATGCAATTACAACACATCCACCTTATGAGAATAATGACATTTCTTTCTAAATTGAAAATTAATCCTGAGTTTTCCAGATTTTATAAATTAGTTGTTTAGAAATTATGTGCTACTTTTTATTTTGTACATGACATTCATACTGTTCTTTCTGAAGAGTTCTTTCTGGTTTACATATAGCCAGCCAAGCATAACTGCTGCTCTCCCAGCTTCACTACTCTCAATTCTATGTCATGATTGAGGATCTGTTAGAAATGTTAAAAATGTAAGGTTTACATTGGGGGCAATGCTTTTACTAGTTAAAGTACTTCTGTAACATTAGAATGCTGAACTATAACAAAGAAGTGCACTTACTTGTTTTGCTTTCAAGTTCTTCAAATTGCTGGGAGCAGATGGTGAAGAACATAACGCATCACTTCGGTAATTGCCTGAGATAGAAGGCAGACAAGCATTTAGATAAATGACAGCAGTAGATATTTACTAGAAAAGAATTCGAAAACCTTATGAGCTAAATACTTGGAATAGAGTGCCTTGCAAAACTGTTTAGATCCATCCTATGGTGTGTAATTGTGTGACATTTAAAAAATACACTTTTTTTTCCAACTTAATATTATGATTCAACCATTAGAAACTTTCAGTTCGAGCATTTTGGTCAAGATAAATTATAGTAAATGTTAACAAAAAAAAACTAAAAAGAAAAAACTTAAACCGGTGGATTCTTTAACTATTCAATCCCAGGAACTCCTTTTGGTGCACATTTCCACCATTTTTCTTGGCAGATTTGCTCAAACTCTCTCAAGTTGTTTGGAGATGGACAGCAGTTTTCAGTTTAACTTCTCAATAGAATAAGACTTTGACTGGGCCACTCAAGAACATTCATTGTCTCATTTTAAGCCACTCCCGTATAGTTTAGATCTCATGATTTGCTTGTACCCTACTGAAAGATAAATTTTAGGTCTGAAGGAGGCTTTCCTCTAAGAATTGCCCGAACAATGCTGTAATGACTTGCACTCAGACCAAAAAGTTCAAATTTTGTCTTGTCTGACAAAAAAAAAAATGTGCTACATGTTTCCAGTACCTCTTAGATGATTTGTTGAAAACCCCACATGGGGCCTGAGATTTTTCAGTTCCTTTGTGGAATGACTGGAATATTGTTAACTCATGAACTTTTTTCTCAGGGACTGAACTCTAACTCTTTTTGAAGGCACCACTGGCCTTACAAACCACTGGAGGGATAGCCTGACCTAGGTAGTGTCTGGATGACTTCTGCTTCTTAATGACTGACTTCACCATACTTTAACAGATGTATTTTCAGGTGCTTTTATACTCTTCTTCTGATTTGTGCCTTTTCTACAACTATTCCTGTTTTGTAAGGTCCTTGGCTGTCATGGTTGATCCTTGGCTTAAAAGTCACTAGGATTGAAATCAGGCCTAATACTTACTGTGGCACTTAAGGTAATTTTGTACACTTAACTAATTTAGGTTTTTCTTATGACTTTTACGGTGGTGCTAGAATTTTCCAAATTTCTGCATAAATTTGACCTAACATATGATCAGATCTTCATCTAAGTCATACTAGTTTTTAAAGAGAACCCAACAAAACAAATCACACAAAAGGATTTACTTTTTCATTCATGCATTGATCAAAATAATCCAACATTAAATGTCTGTCGGAAAAAAGTATGTGAACCTCTAGGATTATCAGTTCAGTTAAGGGGAGTCAGGAGTGTCAATCAATGGGATGACAATCAGGTGTGAGATTGGGTGGCCCTGCCCTATTTAAAAAACATAAACCTGAGTCTTCACTACCAAAGTCTGGTCTTTACCCCACGGGTTTGTGAACGCATGCCATGCCTCAATCAAAGGAGATTTTTCTGAGGACCTCAGAAAAAGAGTTGTCGATGCTCATCAGGCTGGAAAAGGTTACAAAACAATTTCTAAAGATTTTGAGCTTCACTAATCCACTGTCAGCAGATAGTGTACAAATGGAGAAAATTCTACACCATTGTTACTCTCCCCAGGAGTGGTCGTCCAACAAAAATCACTCCAAGAGCAAGACGTATAATATTCTTGGAAATCACAAAGAACCCCAAAGTAACGTCTAAGGATCTGCAGGCCTCTCTTGCACTGGCTAATGTCAGCGTTCATGAGTCCACCACCAAGAAAACACTGAACAAGAATAGTGTGCATGGGAGGATAGCAAGGAGGAAGCCACTACTCTTCAAGAAGAGCATTGCTGCCCGTTTAATGTTTGCAAAAGATCACCTGGATGAGTCAGAAGATTACTGGAAGAATGTTCTTTGGACAGATGAGTCGAAAACAGAACTTTTTGGCTTAAATGAGAAACGTTATGTTTGGCGAAAACCAAACACTGCATTCCAACATAAGAAGCTTAACCCAGTTGTGAAACACGGTGGTAGCAGTATCATGGTTTGGGGCTGTTTTAATGCCATGGAACAAGGACAGCTTGCCATCATTGACGGAACTATGAATTCTGGATGGTACAAGCAAATTCAATGGGAGAATGTCAGGGTATCCGTCTGTGAACTGAAGCTCAACAGAAGTTGGGTCTTGCAGCAAGACAACGACCCTTAACACACAAGTCACCAAAGAATGGTTGAAGCAGAATCAAAGTCCACACCTTAATCCAATAGAAATGTTGTGGCAGGACCTGAAGCGGGGAGTTCATGCAAGAAAGCCCCCCAGCATCACTGAGTTGAAGCAATTCTGTAAGGAGGAATGCGCCAACATTCCTCCAAGCCGATGTGCGTGACTGATCACCAGTTACCGTAAACGTTTGGTTGAAGTCATTGCTGCTCAAGGGAGTCCACTGAATGTGTGCAATATGGTGCATATAACAAATATCTACTATTTCAAAGTGTAAGCTTTAAGAAAATGTAAATGCAAGGGTCTGAATACTTTTGCAAGACAGATTATATTGAGGAATACATGGTATGACTACAAAAACTTCTCTATTTTCATGTACTGAGATAAGTACTAAAAATGTCACCTAAATCAATTGAAAAAGGAACTGAATGACATGAGAATGGAAAATAATGGATGTCAACGGGTGGCATTTTATACTCAAACTTAAAAGAGGAAAAGGATTTTCTAAAATCCCCATTAGGCACAACAAAAGAGTATACCTGCAGAGCCCTTGTATTGAGAACACTCTTTCTTAATGTGTCCTTCAGCGCCACAGATGAAGCAGCGCTTTTCCCTGAACTCTCGCTCCTCCTGCTTCCTCCACTTGTCTGCAGACTGCCGAGGGGTCCATTCCCTGACGGCTTCGTGGTTGTCAGCTCTCGGTCTCTGCCCTGAGCCATCTACATTTCCTGCCTCTATCTCTCCATGATGCCGCTTTTGATACAAAGCATCTTCGTGGCCTCGGTGGTCACGTTTCTGCCTTAATCTGTTGGGAATAATTACTTTATTATTCTTATTTTTGCACACGCACATTTTTTTGTCTGATCCTGAAGAAATAGATCTATTCTATATTTGACATTGTGAGGGGTTATTGAAATTAACAGGTTAGGTCTTAGGTACCTGGGGGGATAAATAGCTCTGCTGTGCCACCTGGTGGTAGATAATTGGCTTTACAAGTGAACAGTAAAGTTAAAAACTGAATGCAGTATACAGTAGATATCCTCGCATTAAATGTCATATTCTACAATGCATTTCTTAAGTTATGTACAATTTGTACTTAGATAGAATCATTTTATTGTATGAATGTATAGGGAAACATCTCCATAAACCATTTGGGAAACATAAACCATAAATTCACTTGGAAACTAAAACTTGTACTGCTTCATTCTAAACTCAATATTAACTGGAGGGTGTTAACCCTGGTGTCCCAGCCAAATGTCCCCCTGGTCCTCCTAATAATCCCCATTTTTCTCCTCTTCACTGATGTGTGGAGAGGGTACTGGCACACTTTGGCTGCTGTTGCATAGTTCAGGTGGATGCTGCCCATTGTTGGTGGTGGACACAAGTCCCCATTACCTGTAAAGCGCTTTGAGTGCAGTGTCCAGACAAGTGTATTATAAGGGTTAGAAATTATTATTATTGCTAGTTAACATTAACCAAAACTATTTCAATTTCCTTGAAGAAGCCTCTCTTGTAAAGCTTTAATTTGTAAAACTACATTTTTCACTGTAAAAAGCATTTCTTTATTGTAAGATATAAGCTGCTATGTTAGGAACCGGTACATACTTTCTGCGCAGTGGACAGTCCTTCATAAAGTGTCCAATTTTCCCACAGATTCGACAGCATCTGTCATTTGGTGCCAGCTCACCCTCTGTCATCACTTCGGGGTCAAAGAAGTACTCCTGAAAACAAACATTGAATATGCTGTGACTCAGGGAGAAGAAACGGAGCAAATCAATGGGTTGAGCAAATTGCTGGGTGAGTAAGGGCCTTTCAAAAATGTTCAAAAATGATAAAAATGAGGGTCGAAGATACTGCATAGACAGGGCCAAAAACAGAGACAGCCATTCCAAAGAATGAGTCTTAATGGAAAGAAGTGTTCCATTACACAACTGAAAAAGCAAAAACCCATCATTACAAAACATCATTCTTACGAGATTCACAGCAAAAAAAATATATATATACACAATTGCACTTCTTTGTAATGGAGTTTATGATATGTACTGAACTGCTTTTATTTACAGGCTCTAAAACCATTCTTACTGGAGCACTGCTTTCTTTCAGGTTTTGCTTGTATCCAAACACTTTCACTTTCAATGTTGTTTTATCAAATAGCAAATTTTGATGTCCTTTGCCACAGCAGAGTACATTGTAAAACTGAGCTGAATACAAGCTTTGTCCTGAGTAAATTAATCTCGCTATAATGTCACGTCTATGTAACTCAGGGGTTTAGGTCACCAAGTTGGAAAAAGATTCCAATGATTCATACAGTATGACATCATGGAATGGATACTTTTGTGTCAGAAAAAAAATCAAACGAATAGTGTTTTGAAAAGAAAGGTCTACCATTTTAGTAGAGTATTCACTGGGAAACACTTTAACAGGTGACCCAAAGACTCTCCTTCCATTGATGAATGCCTTCATGATGAAATTAGTCACTGAAACAGAAAACAGAAAATAAAGTATTTCTGGCCCCCCAAAAAAACATCAGTAAAGCTAAATCAAAATGTTTATATGCAAGACTTACTTCTTCTTGACAATCCAGCACCAAGGTTATGGTGCAGGTCAAATGGATCTGTAATAAGTACACACAAAACAACATAATAATATTATTTTTAAACACTTAAAACACCTCTGTACTATTCCACTTGAAGAAACAAAAGGTTCCATGATAGTAAAATAATGTATTTAATTTGTTTCACAACTAAAATGTACCATAGAAAATCTCTGCACCTTTTTATGGCTGTAATTTGTGTTCCATTGATTACTGTCTTCCAACTGGACAATCAATGCTATGTAGTTAATAGGGGATTTACTTTAAAAAGTGGTCATTCTTAAATAAAATGCCCTTTTCCAAAACTGTTTCCAATTTTTTTTTTCTTAAATCGGGAACTGCATCCCAATTGGATCAGTTTTTAAATCTCAGTAGCAAAATCAACTGATGGTATCACAAACTTTTACAAATTTCAAATTAAGTATAAAATCAGACATTTTATGAAAGTAATATATGGTTGCCATGTTGTCGCAAACCTGCTGACCACTCACCACAAGATCACAGATGAAAGTTTTCAATTGTAAACCTGTACATGCCACAAAACATGCTTATGTTATATGCCATTTCAGCAGCAGGTTAGAAAAAAAATGGAAATGTAAAACAGATTCACAGCAGATACTTTAAAACTGCCACATTATATGTTTCTGACTAATTTGAAGTCATTTGCATAATGTTTTTACTGTTTTCGTGTTTTGTTGCTTTGTTCTGAATCTCAAACAATGACGGCGGTATGGTGCTATGCACACATTGAGACTTTGTTTCTTTTCTGGTGTAAATTGGAGGTTGTACACGTTACCGCGGTAGTTTCATTGCGTTTCGAAATATACTCATTGCTGATTCAGTATAATCCTAAAATGTAAAAATAGCAGTCCCCCTTTTAAAGAAAAAGCAAGCACAACTAATAAGCCCATGTTAGTGCTAAAGAAGACTTAAAGTGCACCTAAAAAGAAAAGAGACAACACTTGGGCTGTGGAGCCTTCTTCACACCTGAATCTATTTCAATCTGCTGTGAATCGATTTTAAGAAAAGAGACACAATGTTTCACTTGTGGAGCCTTCATCAGGTTTCTTTTCAGCATGGAATAAACCTTTACCTGATCCTTTGCAGCCTACACATACTAATGCAGCTACCTACTTGAACTTCTTAAAGTGCACCTGTAACCTTTTTCATTAACCTTAAGAATGAGCAATTTTACTGCCCATGAGAAAATCAACAAGCTTTTTATTGTATACTTTATAGTGTGATCCATGTTTCAAAAAAAAAACATTGCAAAGACATTACTTCAACTATAATGAAATGCTCAAACTCTACATTGCATAGACCTATGCAGAAATAGCTGCTTGACATACATCAGAGAAATGTACTGTACATGAAAGCTATGGTAGAGATAACCTTGAGAACTTGTATACCGTAGCATCAAAATAAACTAATTATTACTGAAAAAAAATTACAAAAAAGGAAAATGTCTCAGGAAAATGGCCTAACGTTTGCAGTAAGTGCTTTGACATTTTATTGAGCAGACAAGTTCAATACAGGTGGGATCTACTGTACTGTAGGCTGGTGTGATGTGTCCATCCTTGGAAGTAATATGAGCAATGCATCTGCGATACATGCTTTGCTGGCTACAGATTTTGTCTTGGGGGGATGTGGTTTTCACTGATTTCTTAAAGCCTGGATAAGCTGTGTTTTACAGGATTCTTTTTTCAAGCATTTATAAAGACAACATATGTTGAAAACAGAATTCATGTTCCATTTTTTAAATGTTCTGCTTTCTACAGGTGTAGGTAGACTAGAATAATTAAGGATGTTTTAATCAATTGTAATACACTTGTCATAATCCTGTCATACCCAAAGGACAGTTTGATAAGTAGTTGGAACTAGAAAAACAATTGAAGCTGTTGTCATTTCCAGACATTGAAACATAAAATAATAGAGCCACTAATTTCTTTAAAAAAAGACAGAACATAGACTCAAAATGTTTATACAAATGCAAATATTCAGATTGAAGCAACACTTTTTGTAAATCAGTAATCGTATCAAAACACTGAATGTTTATGAACCTGTTGATTAGGAAAATTCTACCGACTGGAATTGGTTTCCTTTGGTATGCATCAAGATATTTTCTTGGTCTACTGTGCTTTCATGTTAACAAGATAATTCAGTGTGAAATCCCTCTTTTTTACTATAAAAGTCAAGTTTTAAACCAAATCACAATAGAAAATGTAAACGGCTTATACCTCCGAGATCAGATCAGTTCAGATTTTTGATAGAAACAATTAAATTTGTTGCAACTGGTTAGGAAATTCTCAACAAGTAAGGGAATTACTATGCAGTCTCATAGCAGGCTTGTAGAAGACTGAAACCCACTAAAGTTTTAAACTCGTTCTTACCTTCAATAACAATGTACTTTGATGTCCACTGCTTCTTGAAAGTAGTGAGGAGTTTCTTCCTCCGTATACAGATAACGTGCTCCTTGAAGTCAAACTCCTCAGTGTAGAACTGAAGCAATCCAAGCCACAACTCTCCTACGCTCTCTGTGTTTTTCCCAAAGTCAGGCCATCTGTTAGACTATAAAGTACAGAACAGAAAAATGAAAACAAATTCCAAAACAAATTTGAATACATAAAAATAAAGCCTTATTGGGAAGCATTAGAACGAACAAGAACTTACCAGGTTTTCAAGATCATCAAAGAAGTACACATTCCAGCCATCAACAAGGACCTCAGGTTTCTTTGGGCCATCGTAAAGCTATATAAGTAAGAATAGGATCAATCCACTTATTGTAGTGCTTGTAAGCAGTATAATATTGTTTATTCATAAACTGAATGTAGCCAGATTCATCAATGAATGTATTGATACAAGAGCAAGACACTTTATTCAGGCACAAGTGAAATGGGTTAAGTATAATTAAGTATGATAGTCAATTATTCCTCATCACAAGCTCATGTCACGGCTCAGGAACAGCTGCTGTTGAGTACAAGGACAGGCAAGTGTAGAAAAGAGAGACAAATGCACAATGGTAATACACAAGAAAACACTGTACTTGTGCAGGTGTTACAGTACCTCTTGAAGCACAGGGATAACGGGCGGGTTTCTTTGTTGCAGGTAGTACAGCACCATCAAAGTGTAAGCATACGAAGATAGACTGCCTCTTGATGCATCTCCAATGTCACACACCTATAGCCAAGACACTACGTGTTAAATGACAGTGGCAGAGGGCTACATATTTTAACTGACACAAATTGAATTAAGAAAGTGAAATCCTTTATCAAAACAAATAATAATATGAACAAAGAAAGGTGGAAGAAAAAAAATAAAAACAAGAGCCCTTGAGGACATCAAATTTGACTAGAAAAATCTAGACTAGATGCACTATCTTTCATTGTGCTGATACTTCCTCTGGATGTCTTTCCGTATAAGGTGATTAGTTTTGAGGGTTAAGTTACTTATAATTTTATTTTTGTCCCCATCAAGGTAATTTATGATGTAGTAGTAGTAATAACACTCGTTAATCGTTGAATGTAATGTGATCCACTTTTTCCACAGAAAGTAACGAGAGCTATTACATTCAAAATTATACAATTTTACTGACCCTTAGTTCACATTTACTCTAATCTCTTCAGATAGTTCATATGCAACCATGAAAAATGGGAATTTAAACTGTTTAAAAGTATCAACTAAAGTGAAACTCCACTTACCTTTGCAAATACCTTCATGGTGTAGCACAGGTATTTCACTCTTGCATCTATAGCTGCATAACATGCAAGTAGTCTCGTGTTATGTAGAGCCTAAAAAAAGTCACTATTATCAACATGTTCCTTACACCACATAATAAATAATTGAGAAAATGTTCACCAAGCATCACTTACCAATGTGTTATACAAACTAATGTCTCCTTCCAGACCAGTTTTCAAATGGAAGAATTTGACAATTGGGACTTTGGCTGTTGTAATAGGCAGTATATTTCGCAGACCTGCAGTTTCACAAAATTAGAACACAGCATGTTTCTTTGCTTTTTAAATGTTTTACTGTTTCTTCCAGACATAAATGCTAGTACTGTCTAGTAAAATTACAATGGTTAAGAACTACAAATGTTAAATTCAAATTTAATGTCTTCCCCCAAAACTGACACATATCCCAATGTTCACACACTAAAAATCATGTACCTGAATGTTTCTTCAGATATTTGGCTAAGCTCTCAATTATTCCAATGCAGTCCAGCCCCTGAATAAAAGATATTGACATGGTTTTATTTCATAATATTTATTGTCAGAAGCAATTCTAAAATGCATAATGATGAGCAATCTCAGTGCGTACTATGGGTGTAACAGTCTAGATATTGTATCGTTTTTAATTTCTGGGTTCAAACAGAAGAACTTTCACAGATTTTGTTAAAGAATGTCTCATCAGCCACTACTAGCAGCTAGAAATATTTAAGTTTATAGTATGTTCTAGTATTTATATATAAATAAAGTTTAAATATTTCACTAGGCATTCAAAATTTAAGATAACCACTCAATTTTGTAACATCGTTGTAATATTACATTACAATCTTAGAAGAAAGGATGTTTATCCCCTTAACTTTAAATCAAACGACAGCATACAGGATCCTAATATTTTTCATGTAATACACATCACAGACTGCTCGTAAAATAAATATGAAATAATTAAAAACTGCAAAGAAATCACAAGCAAGTGTCTGAAAATCTTAAAAATGTAACAAAAACTTTGTATTGCTATAACACTTTACTACTGATCAGCTGATATATTCAGTCAATTTTTTTTGTTTAGTTTTAATAAAGGGCTCATATTCACTATTCTTTATGTACAGCTAGTTCTTTACAGTACGGTACAATAATCCTTACTTTTAATATTTTTTTCATTTTATAATGGATTTGCTGCACAATAAAAATTCCAATATTTTTAATTGTTTTGTTGCATAATGTTTTGGATACATTACGGTATACAATATAGTTTATATACAGTTCTATAGATATTTAGTTTTAACAGCATATATATATACATACAGATATGTATTAAGTGAGTAGATGGGAAAAAAAGGACATCTGATAACATCTAAATATTCCCTGCTTGACTGCAGCGAATTCCTCTACTAATTTCCTGCACATTTCACCAAGTGTTTTTAGGCTACTGAGCAAATGCCAAACTTTACATTAATTTAAGGTAAAAATTACAGTATAACTATTTACTGTAAGGTAAAAAAAAAACTAAGTGTGTTTGGAATTTCTCCAGCCATCAGTGAAAACAAGCCATCACAACATGAACATGCTCTTCTATTGGCCCTATGGTTCACACTTAGAAAGCAAGCTGCTATACACAAGCCATGGTAAAGACACTTAACGTACAAGCAACAAAAATGACATTTACCTCTGCGGTTTCCTTTCCTTCAAAGGTTAAGCAGATGTCAAGATCACTTTGTTTGAAGCCAAACCCATTTTTAGATGAACCAAATAAACTTAACTTAGCTCCTACAAGAATAAAGCAGAAACGCAGAAGTGAAGACCGTTTAAAGATGCTGTTTACATTGATTTCAATTCACACTGGATATGCTCACTTTACGCACACAATGCTGTTTCATTAGCTTTAAAGAAGAGGTGTGTCACCTGGAAACTGCATCCTGACAAACTTTTCCAGGTCCTGCAAAATGTGCTCACGAACTTTCTCCTCAATCACGTCTGGGGAGAAATCATCTGTGGGACAGAATAGGAACTAAGTAGTCCAGAGATGTTTAACAAAAAAGGAATACTAAAGAATGTGGAGTGTACTTTCTAAGCCAGTGGTTCTCAAACTGTGGTATGCGTACCACTGGCACCCATATGACCCTGGAACTTTGTTGTGTGAACTGAAAAATCGGGACGGGTTTTCATATTTTCCATTTTAATATGTGTTGTACGTACTACAATACAGCGCATGCTAACACCTGAGTGCACACAAGAGCTACAATGTAATTCTATTCCGTTCTATAGGAATGCGTGCTAAGAATGAAAGCGGCCAATTGTATTTAAAAAAGTTATCTCCAGCAAATTGGGAGGTAGGAGAATGTGTGTGATTTTGGGACAATGCCAATGTTGTAAGCACAGGAAAGCATAGAAATGTGTGCTACGAACGCTGGCAATCTTGTGAGCACAGGAAAGCGTGATAGATAACAGAAAAATATTTAAGAACTGTTCTAGGTTAATTTGAGAAAAATAAACCGAGCGTCTCTTTGTTTCGCTCCCATGCGCATTAAAGAACTTCTTTTAACTTCTGAGACGGACTCCTGAAACGGAAACGGGGGAAAATTGCAAGCTTCTGGATTGCTAAAGCAGGTAAGCCCCACACTATTTTTGAAGAACCTTATTTACTGTCGGCAAAAGAGCTGACATGTATTATGTTTGGAGAAAAGCTGTTAAGCAGCTCGACCTGCTATCCCCTCCGAAAGACAAAGCGACTCATAGAATTATTGATATGGCGGATGATATCAAAAGCACACTGACAGAGTGCGTTAAGATAAGCAGATGCTTTTCACTGCAATTAGATGAGTCTGTAATGTCACGTTGGATATGAGTTTGAGGGCATGTCCCGTGAGAACTTTCTGTTCTGTAAGCCACTACCAACAGGAACTACAGGAGAGCACATATTTCAGTTTCTGAATGAATTTATTGAAGAGAATGGCATCGGCTGGATTAAGTCGGAGTTTGTGCAGACAGTGCTAGAGTGATGACAAGCTGACACAGCGGTGTAGTTGGACGAATTAGAGAGGTTGCTCCAGAAATGAATGGACACATTGCAACATCCACCGCGAGACCTTTGACGTCAAGAAAATGCCTGACGATTTAAAATCTGTTAGACTCTGTCGTGAATTGTATCAAGGCTCGAAAAATGAATTCACATCTGCTTTGCTCGACTAAACAGACTCACCCCGCTCACTGAAATGGCGCTTTTTTATTGTTTATTTTTAATTGTTGTTGTTCCTGTTGTCATTCTGTAAAGCGCTTTGAGAAGCCACGTTTAAAGGCGGTATATCAAATAAAGTTTTTATTATATTTATTATATGTGTGTATGACTGTGTGCACGCGTGCTCATGCTGGTCATGTTCGTATATCAAAACAATTGTGATGCTTCTATGACAGGATAAACACTGACCCTAGGCTTCTTAAAGAAGCAAGCTAGTAACACTAAGTTTAAAGAAATAATGACATTTAGACTTCTGATTGAAAATCATTTGAAAACTTACTGTAACACTGCATGCAAACTTGATGGAGTATTTTAAGGAACTTCGGTGTCATCGGAGGTAAAGAATCGAGTTCAACCCTCTTGAAGTCTTCAGGACAGTCGCGTTTCAGGTGTCCTTCGTGTTTACACAGACTGCACACAACTGTGGGTGACTTCAAACATTGTTCTAGTTATTTTCTAAAAGTGCACATAGAACTTTAAGAAAGACATTTTCTAATAACATCCCCATGGAAATGCCATTAACCCCGGAAACTTAATAAAAATAACTAAATTAAGATGATTGTTAACTTCTTGGGCGAAATGATGTGAGCGCAAGTAGATAATTGAAATACTTTTACCTTGCCCTTCGTAAACATTAGTTTGCTGAACTCATAGCTCAGTTCATCTTGCTGCGCTTGATCAGCTGTGCAGCTTTCCAAAGGCTCTTCTGGAACTTTTTGGTGAGGAGGATCATCCAAAAATGATTTGCGATTTGCCCCAGTGTCATCAACTATTTTTTCCGGGGCACTGTGAACCTCAGCAGACTCATGAGCACTTTGCCCTCCCTCATCATCTGAGAGGGCTTCCTCCCCAGAAGCCGTATATAAATTATCCAGTTCATTTTCTGTAGTAAGGCTGTCTAAGTGAGATCTGTGACATACTTCATCATTGTCTTCATCTGAGTTATTGCTACCAAAATCATGGTTCTTTTGGGCTACTGTCATCTTGCCCAATGACTCTGCCAACCCCTCACTGCTGTCTGCATCTTCATTCTCTCTGCCTGGCTTTGCTGCCTCATCAAAACCAAAGTCATCACTATCCACTGTTCCCATAACCAGGCGCCCTTCTGAATCTGAATGGCTCTCAGTCTCAATTTCCAATTCTCTGGAAAAGCAAGGCAAAGTACTAGAATCTACAGCGTTCCCCTCCTCTCCAAAGAGTTGTTCAGCATCTGAAGAGTATAACTTTTCATCTTCCTGTCTCTGTTCTTCCTCTTCATTTCCACTTTCTGTATCACCAGAACTAGGCTTATAACCATCAGGCTCTTCCATTACAATCTCTTCAATGATGCAATCTGAATCCTCCTGAAAAGCACCACTTCCTCTTTCAATGTACACAGCTTCTTGTTCTGTTAAACCATCATTACCGTTTGCTCTTCCTGGAAATCCTACAGTGATGGTTTCTTTAGGGGAACAGATTTCAAGATTCACATTCATAATACGACTAACAGAGGTGTCCCACTCTGACTGAATTAAATGCACTTCATTCACAACTGGTGGCATAGTCTCTTTTCCTTCTCCAAGTAGAGCAACAGTGCCTTGATCCACAATTTGCTTCTGATTTTGCTTGTTGGGTTTTATGTGCCGTTTCAGAGGCGAAGCGAAGTATTTGTAGGTTGTTTTTAAGCAGTGCAGAATGTACTCGTATACAAGCTGACTGTTGAGAGTCCTTGCCACATTCCTCTTCACGGAGTAGGGATCTATATTTAAAAGAAAATACATCAACCCATGTGAGCAACGGTCAACCGATACTAAATAAAACCAAATGCATAACAATATCAATTGTCATATTCTTCAAGCCAAAGAAAGCTTCCATCCTCGGACTTCAATGGACCCACTTCTATCTGAATCGTGTTAATATGGAGCTCTCCACTCCTCAGATTCAAGGTGCCAGTGTGTGGAAGGGGCTGGAAGTGCAGCAGTTGCCAGACTGTGTGTTATCACCTGGCTGTTGTCCATTTTTTGTCTACAGGTGCTTAAGATGGAAACCTGGGAGGAAGAATGTTCCTGAATTATACTATTTTGTTCTTATTTAGTTCTGTTTTTGACAATTTAACAAAAATAATACAAACTGATTCACATAAAAGTAACTGTTGTTTCTTTCCTCCCTTGCCTCCACTGCTTTGATCTCCAAAATGAGTTAAAATGGAATTCTTCCAAGCAGAAAATGAACAATGAACATGTCTATTATTATATCTATTATAATACGATATTATTGAATGAGTACCCAAATGAATGGCACGAACTCAAACATGCTATGAAGTCTCAAAACTGATAGGTAGTAAAAAATAAGTCAAATGTAATGTTGGTCATTATGAGACCAATAGCACTGCAACTGGGCCACATCATGTAAGGTCTGTATCCAAAGAAGGATGTATGCTGCATTCTATAGAAGGCAGTCTGGTTTGAGTCAGATCATGTTCAGGCAAACCTTTTCATGATTTCCTACAATCCACTATAAAATCGTACACTCACTTGACCTCTCTGATAGTAATACACCATTAAAGATGGAATACATGATATGTAGGTGTAATTTCTAGAGATAACATCTAAATAACATTAGAACATTAAGGAGATGTACATTAATTTGGTAATGTTGCAATAAAACATTTGTTTGCTATCCATCTCAATATTCAGATATTTTTGCATGCATCAAGGGTCAATAAGGAAAGCGTAAGGAGACTAGGTTGCAGGTTTAAAGGCTTTTAAATTATGGGCAACCCCTGTAACTAAGGGTCATGGGATCTTCTGGTTTTCATTCCTGAGAAATTATTTGGATAAAAAGTCACATCCCATCTTCTGAAATAACTAATTACTGCTGCAGAGGAAAGAATTAAATATTTTTTTATTAATTTAACCTTCTATGGCAATCCTCTTCTTAGGCCAGTCCTTTGATTCTCGTGTGAGGAGCTGCTTTACACGAATGCAAATGACGTGATCAGTCATCGGGAAATCCAGTAAATAGAAGCGCAGCATTTCCACCCACAGCTGCCCAACAGCAACTTCACACCGGTGTTTCGAGTCAAACGTCAGCAAGCCCTTCACGAGAAAAACAATTAAATGACCAAAAAGAACAGGTTTCTAGTAAAAACCTGAATAGGTGTTTTAGTTTTGTCTCTTTAATATGCTAGGATATTGTAATGCTGAGCTGTTCTCCTAACATTCTCTCTCAATGCTTGTAATGAAGAAAAATAACAGTGAACAATATTCTTGATGAGAACAATAATTATCTACTTTATATAGCACCTTTACAATATATAAGAAACAGAAAAGTCCAATTAAAATGTTAATAACAGTAATACAAAAGAAAAAAAGAATTCTACCATGTTAACAAAAGCGGGTATTGATCTATTAGTGTCAATCCCATGTTTATTTCAAGGCTGTTTATTTTAAAACAAGAAGGCTCTCCTTCTCCTCACTGTATTACCACACACTCAACCTTCAGGATTTTATGGAGACATTTTTGAAACAGCTTAATTTTTATCGTGATTATCATACACTGTGGTAAAGATATGTCAATATAGTTACATAAAATACATATTCTGTTTTTCAAAATCTTGAAAGTGAAAAATCAAAAGTTGAAAGTGAAAAAATGCTAAAGGTTATCCTTGAAACAGGATATCACAGTATGTCCTTTGTATCTTACAAAATCTTATCTGCTCTATTGTATTATCATTGCTCTTTTGTATAAGCTTACCATGCCCTTCTTGATAAACTCCTTAGAAGTGGTTTTGGACTCTTCCGGGGATGGGCTATACTCCCACAGAACGTGACCATCTTCCACACCAGTAAGCCTGAAATCTACAAGGTTTTTCAGGGAAAAACCTTCAATCTGAAAATGAAAGGAAGAGTTCAAAGTTCAAAGTTTAAGAGTGTAGTCCTCTATGGTTTATTACAACTTTAGATTTTTTTTTTTAATTCTCATAAATAAAGCACAAAAAATAAGGACCAAGAAAAGGTTAAAACTACGGCTTTCCCTTATTTAATGAAAGCTAGGCAGTTCATTTACAATTAGGCATCCTTTACTGTTCTAAAAAAAGTCTTCCTTAAATATAGTTGAGCATTATTTCTTGCCATTTAATTACATATCTGTACATGACGCATCCCCCCAGGCGCACAGCCTTAAAAGGAACAGGAAATGCTTGAGAGATGATAACTAGTGGAACAAACACTGTCAAGGAGCACAAGCTCTTACCCATGAACCCAGGTACACTGGGAGCACAGGCTCCTTCCGCTGCTGCAGGAAGTAGATGACCATCAAGGCAAAGGCATAAGGAGGCAACCCTCCCTCATCAGGCTGGTCGATATGGCAGATCTGTCATGGGGGACATTTTTCGTGCTTTAGCACAGCCGAAAGAGGTTTAACACTCATGGTGTCCCATTTTCTGACGCGGCACGCAGTTATTGATTTTACCTTCGCCCAGCGTCTGAAGGCCATCGCAAGAGGAGCAAGACAGGGTTCCCGTTTGGCCACAGCTGCCAGGAGTGCTGTGGTTTGGCACGCACTGTCGTTGCCTGCGCTCACCTTACAAAGGAGACCACTGTGATGGCAGAAAGAAAGGGTTGTGCACTGAGTGGGAATTGTTAGTGCCTCCAGAAAAGCACCATCTGGCAATAAAAACATCTTGTTATAGTTTTGACAACTCACTCTTCAGGTATTTCAGGATCGAATTCAAAGTCTTATTGCGACACTGGATTATGTGATTAAAAGGATGCTACCAGCAGAAAAAGAAGTCTAAAGGATTTCATGTTTCCCCAGAAGAAGGCCAAACTGCATTTCACAATGACACCACATAAAAACATTTAAAGAATTTACAAGGATAATGTTTAAAAAGATATCTGAGTTTTTGGTCAAGAGCTTCAAAAGACAAGATCTCAAACCTTTGCTTCTCCCTGCACACCACTACTGGGACCCTGGTATGAAAGTGGGCCTCAAGGTCAATATAGGAAGCTGAAAACAAGAAAGTAAATTTACTAAAACCTGACAGAATTGTGTTTTTTCTGTTACATTTTCTGTAATTACTTTTAAACTTACGACTATTTTTAAGGCTCTCCTGAACCAGCAGTAATACATCAGGTTGATGCATCTGTAAACAGAATAAAACAATAATGAATAAGAAAACATATGGCCATAGAAACAATATGCTCCTGGGGTATTCACTGCACAATCTGATACCTGACTTAAGAAAAACTGAATATACCTCTCAGACATATGCCTCTCAGGTCTGAAAATAAATATTTTCTACAAAAGTGGCAAGAAACAACTTACATGTGCTGGGAACTGTATGTCAATGTTGACATCAGAATCTTTGAAACCAAATCTTGTGCAAGAGGATCCATACAACCTGAGTGAACAATCTATCAAACCAAGCAGAAAAGACAGTCCGGTTTAAAAGAATGCAGAACTAAATTACATCAATAGCTCACAGCAAATTAGAATAGCACACAGAAGAAAAGCAACAAAAGAAGTCTATTTTAGAACGGTCTGGTCCATTACAGGCTCTGTACGGTGAAGTCAAAAACAAGTAATGTGAGAAAACAATATACTACTTTACAAACCTGTATACATTTAGTGAAGCCAATGAATTGACACCCTCTTCAATTTTACATAACATAACAGAAATGCTGTGCTCCTCTATGGCATTTTCATTTTGACACTGTGCTTCAATGATCCAAAGAGTCCCTGAATGTTTTAGGAATGGAGTATGTTATTTCAGTTAAATAACACTACTACACATGCAACATGCAATCGAAAACCTAATTATTATATTTCCTTTAATTATATAAATTATATATATCCTTTAATTTCGAGAGTCTATGCGAGGGGTCTCCAATCCTGGTCCTGTAAAGCCTGTATTTTGTCTTATAAACCTCATGTTTCTAAAGAGGCACCTATTAATTATTGATGAACAAATCAAGTTGTATTAAGAAAATTCAATTTAGTCTTTCAGGGCTGAAGAATACTTGAAATTTGGTCCCAAGTGATCTCCGAATGCTTTATTAAATCGCCTGTTGATCACAATTAAATTGTTCCAACACTTCAGAAATTTCTGATTTATTTGCGACCTTCAAAACCTGTTAAATCAGGGCTCTCCAGTGCCAGAGGTGCTGCTAATACATAGTCTCTTGAACAGCAAGAGGAAAACAAAACATTTTCTACTAGAAAAAAAGTACATCAAAAGCATCTCAAATGACAGTTACTAATGGTTTGATTTATATTGGAAGATGACAGTACAGACCAGCTCATACCTACCAGGTAAAGCAGATTTGATTGTTTCCTGCATGTACTCCACAATTTGTTGCCTTATTGTTATGTCATCATCACTTAAACCATGCTCTTGCACAATCTTGTCAATGGCAGAGCCAATAGCTTTCACCTGAGATGGATTTGGTGGAGGTAAAGCTGTAAGCATCGCATCCTCTTGCTTTTCCTGGAAATTATAATGCATATTTAAAGTCTGAATACAGATATGAATGGTTTTAATAGGTGTATTCAATATTCTTAAACCAAAGGTCTTCAGAGGGCATGTTTCTATTTAAATACTTTCTACACAATGTATTACTGAGGATAGCTAAAAAAAAGTAGCAGCTGTTAGCAGAATTGTACCAACACACTTGTATGTGTAATCCATGTTAGCAAGTCATATAATCTTAAAAATGATATTGTAAACCATGACCAAGCACAAAGCTGAGGATCATTATTAAGAATAATTATAAATGCATGCATACTGCCTTGGGAGAGGCAGTAAAATGTTGCCATTTTATAAAATGTAACACATTGCAAATTCTCATTTTATATAATGTTTCATTTTCTCCCATTTCAAAGGCTCACTTCAGCACAATCTGTAAATAGGTTTAATCGTTCCCTCAGTCACATGAAATGTCCAGAACCCTTTTCCAATATGGTGAACCCAATCATCATGTCATGAAACCTGACTGCTCATAATGCTCTCACTGCAGTAGTGAGCCCCATCAAAACCACAGAAAGTCCTGCATTAAAACAGGCATTTCCAGTCATAACCAAGACTGGTAAATCAACATGGCCCACATTTTAATGTTATTGCAAGTCTTACCTTGCACATGACAAAAAGATGATACCAAAACAAGAACCCCATTTAAGTATTATCATGTCTCAAACTGATAAAACCCAACAGCTGAAACATATTAAATAAAAATACTATGTTTCTGAAAGCAACTATGCTTTATAATAGGGTTACAGAGCATTAAAATAATAGTTCCTGAAAACAGAATAAAATAAACATCTCCTGATAAACACTCCTTAACTTGGGAGGGATTAAAAGTAAAATACATGGCTAACCTATTATTAATGTAAATATTATGAGCTTTGTACAGTACATTACCTTTGCTTTCTTCTTATGCCACTTTTCTTTAATATGCTTATGTGCTGAAGATATCGAATCAATCAAAACATCACACAGCATGCAGATATACTTTGAATCTGGACAGCTGTGAGATTGCTGGAAGAAAAAAATGTTATATTTATGCACAACAGTAACAGTGAAAGTTACTTAAATGAATACTAGACTACAAATAATATAGGTGGGTAGCTGCGTCAGCATGCGTAGGCTGCAAAGGAACAAGTAATAGGTTTATTCCATGCTGAAAAAAAGAAGAAAGAGAACACAACGTTTCGGCCGTGGAGCCTTCTTCAGGTGTGAGAGAGACCTCCCTCCCAACCTTTGTTCTCCCGCTACTTTACCTTTGCCTACTGTCCTGTCTCTCTCACACCTGAAGAAGGCTCCACGGCCGAAACGTTGTGTTCTCTTTCTTCTTTTTTTCAGCATGGAATAAACCTATTACTTGTTCCTTTACAAATAATATATTTAACACTTCAACAGGCTTTACATCTTGTGTATTTTTCCACATTCTGCAGGTTTGTTCTGTAGGATTTAGAAATGATTTTTTCCTTAAGTAACCTAGAGATGAGTCATCTCATTTTAACTTGTGTGCAACTTGTGTGCAGCACAAATCGGGGATTAATAGTGAATGAACAGGAAGTGGACACAAACTCTCTCAGAGCTCAGACTACTGGGAACTGAGCCAAAGAACATGGATGAGTCTCATGGAAGAGAGGGTACAAGCATAAATTGGGATATAGACACCTACAAATATTCACCACATTTTAATATTAGGGAAATGATCAGAAATGACAAGCATTTACCTTTTTCAGTCTGAAAATGTCCTCTCTCTTTAGTCTTTCCTCTGCCTGGATTAGTCCCAAGAGCTCTTTTTCTGACAAGGCAGATTCATCAATAACAGGCACATCCCTGTCTTCATCCCTGTCCATGTGATTCCTCCTCCTTGCTTTGACTTTTAGTTTATTTGCTTTTAATTACAGACACATTCTGCAATGATTATCTAACAGATTTTAAATGCACAGTGAAAGCAATGTCATTCATTTCATTATTATTCCTCCTCTTTCAATACCAATTATGCTAGGAAATGTTGGTATTTAAATTAAGTATTAACCACTTTTACATGGTTATTTAAAGGTAAATGAACAACATTTCCAGTACAGTTTTTGACTGCAGATGAGTTACTAGCACAAATGTTGCCCACTAACCAAGGACTGGCTGTGCGCTCTAAAATAGACGTCCTGCTGTGAATGAGTCAAATACAGCAACTGCTCATTCATCGTCACCTCCAGTAATTCTGTGAGCTTTTAGTAAGACCTAATTCTTATCAATATAATGCAGAATAATGGTAACTTTATACTTTACCTTGTAGAGGAGGCCATTTTTTCTGCATGTCACTATTAAGTTACAACAAATTAGTAATCGTGATCATGAAATTTGCTTTGTGACCAACTTCAACCAAGCACAATGTTTATATTTAAAAGATGTTTACTCTTCCCTTCCCTGTGAAAATAACTTATCAAAACTTATTTCTACATTTCCTCTGTCCATTTTGGTACCAAGCATTTTACAATCTATTAAAATGTGTTATGCACAGATCAAAATTTTTTTATCAGGCCTTTTTTCAGAGCCATTAGTAGAAAGAAACTATATTAGGATATTTCAAATATCCTGTTTGAAATGTCTGTTTTCCCCACATTGTCCCAGCAAAATGCTTAATGAAGGGCCTATAGCAGGCAGAACGTTTTAATGCTACAGGGTCTGCTACCTTTTTAAAAAGATATACTATGAATACAGACAGTAAAACTCCAATATTCATGATTTCTACAACAGTCATTTTGTCTATTCTTGCACAGGTCTTAGTGACCATTTTTCTGTGTTTGCCGACCAAGTCTGCTTACTCACAGGTTGTGCAGCAGGAAAGAATGACCTTATCACCACACAGATTTGTGGTACACAGAGAGTTTGTGATGCTGCGCTTTATGAACGGATCTTACGTTACAAAGAACCTGACTTAATAAGACTTTTCATTTTAAGTGGTACCTGTCAGTTTCAATGCTTTTTAAATGTGAACCTGGGAAAACAGCATGACTGAGAAAATGTGTTTAAAGGGACAAAGCAGTGTTTACTTGCCAACTTGAGCCCTGCAAGCAGTTGCACTGACCACCGCTATACTGCAAAAACGCAGTCCTTAAGGTTGTTCAGGTGACTTTGGCATATCCACCTGGATCGTATATGTATTTCATGGGCAAAACTGTAGTTACAGCAGCATTTCCTAGTCATTGAATGCCATCAACTCTGCAGCCTTACCCAGAGTCTGTACCACTGATCCAGCAGATTCGTCAGTGGCTGTTTTTTTCTGAAGATGCCTCCTATTATTGCCGTGTCCTCTGCTGACATCCTCAGCCTGCCTGCTCACATCCTCGCTAGCCTCCTGGAAAGAATCCTTCCTCCGGCGGCCTGAATCGGAGCCGAGATGTCTCTCGCGCCAGTTTTCAGCTCTTATGCGGTGGTCTTCTTGGCTGGGGAAGTTCCGGAACCCGTCTCTCAACTCGTCATTCATTCTCTGTCCAGGGTTCTGACCCGCCTTCTTAAACCCGGCAGGGCTGGTGCTCAGGAGACCTTGTCCTCCTTTCCTAGGACTACTGCCAAAGCTCCCGGGTGTGGCCCTCTTCTTGTGAGCCCCCTTGTCTGGCATACTGCTGAGGCCTCTTCCATAGTCCAGACAGTCTGCATGCAAGGGGCTCCTCCATGAATCAGAGTCATCTGCTGCTTTCCCTTTCCTGTCATGTTTCGAATAGGATGATCTGCCCGAGTCTTCCATTTGTTCTTCAAGTCAAGCCTACCAGTTCAGAAAGAAACCAGGTGAAATGCGGACACAAATATACTTAAGTAATTTGCCACAGGCCTAGCATCCTATGTCCCTGTTGGAGAACAAACTTCATTAGTTTCTGAAGCGCAAATGGGCATTATCTTATAATCCATTTTTATATACTTAGACTATAAATAAGACAATGCAATCAATTTCTTAAATCTTCAGTACATACCCAACTCAGAAATCAGTGAAGTCTGTGTGCAATATGGAAATTGTGCTTGTGCTATCCTTTGTTCTTCTCGATATTCGTTAACATCGTTTATATCTTAGTTATATAACAACTCTAATTGTCAAGATGGCTTATAAGTATCCATAATGTTAGGGTATGCTACCTATACTAAAACACGCAAAACTTAGAATGCAAAGATTAAAAAAAAACGTAAGACATAAAAAGAATTGGGCCTACTTGCTCCTTAAATTGTCACGCTACAGATTGTTGCCCAGGATTTAATTCTTTCAATCTTGACAGAGTTAAACGTTAACCAAAATAAACGTATACGGCGTCGTTTTTGGTTTTTATGAGTTTTCTATTCATAACTTAAAAATCCAGTTCTGTACAGTGGCTCCTTGTATGATTTAAATTAAACTTAATGACGATAAAGACTACTGGTCCTAAATTTAAAACAGGTGCTGGTAAGAATGTCGTTACGCAGTACAAATACACATATCCCAAGGGATCACGAGAGACGACCAGTTACTGAACCCCTTTGTCAACTAATGACTTTGTTTTTTCAGTCTTCGGTAGCATAATTGTACACTAGATTTTTAAAGTGTTATTAAATCTTAGAATAAAACCGTGGATGGGTAACCTTCCAATAAATATTCCAACAGTCAACGTAAAGCCTGTTTAACCAATAATTGTTGTCACTAGTGCGTCTTCGTGTATTTTATTTATCAGGGCAGCTAGCAACGTGATAGTTCGTGGGATACGTCTGTTCACAAGCTTCTTTATAATAACGGGTGCAAGTCATTTTCAAATCATAACATAGTCAAATAATAACTTATATGGAACTATAACACAAATAAAGCGAGGCTTTTCACCGAGGAACCCAGCTATGATTTGGAACTATTTTCCTAAAGCATTCTCGCACATAGCCCCGAACACAACAACAGGTTTATTTAAAACAGATTTAAAATCTGCACAAAGGAGTTTCGAGACATAAGACAAAAAATAACATACGACCACAATTCTAAAGAGAAACAAACAATAACTGACCCACAGCCTCTCAATAAGGGTACATGCTGCTCTTTCTTATTTCCGCCGAGGTATGGTACAATTGTTGTATCTGTGACAAAACCACATAAATATCCAATATGGCTTCCTCGATTCGGTAATCGTCGTTATGTTTCGTGTATTTTCGACACACTGCAGTCTTCGCCTTTGTCTCCAATCTAGACAAGACCTGCCGAGGTATAATAATAATAACAATAAAAAATAATCATAACAATTCCTTACACTTATATAGCTCTTTTCTTGACACTCCACTCAAAGCGCTTTACAGGGAGTGGGGAATCCCTTCCGCCACCATTAAGAGAGTGATCCACAGACCATCCCTATCCATTGTAAGAAAGCATTCGCTTATCATAATAGTGGCGCTATTACAAGAATTTATCATACATATTCCTGTGTGTTTAAATATCTAGCACAGAGATTCAACGGCATTTCCAGCGATTGCTCGGGAATAGATTTGTTGACCTTGTTAAAAACTATGCGGTTTTGTACTGAAAACCAAGGCACTGTCGCTGCACTCCGGGTTTAGAGAAGTTATAGCATCACATTAGACATCACTTCCGTTTCTTTCTGCTCCGCCCCAGGCATTCAAGGTCTGGTATGTGATGTTCTGGTTCACCACCAGCTCCAAGCGATGAAGGAGGCTGCCCCATTTCACTTTATTTATTTCATTAGTTTTTGCTTGTAACAGTTTCTGGCACTGTATTAACAAAACCGATTTACAAAGTGTTCCATCTGGAGAGAGGGATGTGATATAAGACACATGGCGCTTTTCACCGCAAAAAATCTCCGAGCCCCTTTTTTTTACTAGAAGGAAAACAATGATTTCGAAGTCAGACGCGTCGCAGAGCTTCGCAAATTGAATTATGGGGGGCCTTTGGGATTTTTTACAAGCCCAACGTATGATTTTGACAAGATACACTGGTTTAAAGGACCTTCAACGACCAAGTAAACAGTACCCCTCAGTTAACGTCACATCCGAAAGGTGCCACAACAAGGGTGTCCCTTAGTCACCTTACTGGGGTATTTTGTTTTTGTCCCGACGGAAGAGTGCCTCCTACTGGACGCACAGTAGCAACCCCATTATGCCTTGTCTCCCATCTACATCCTATCAGTAGCGACCAGGCCCAGCCTCGCTTAGTTCCTAAGATCTGATTACAACACATTTGAAAGGAATAGAAAGTAAGATGTGGTATGTTTGAATCAGGGGGCGTGACAGCACTGTTTATTCTGATACTGAACCACAGGAAATCCAGCGATTTTTGACGTCATGTGCAAAACCAATTAACGGTTCCTAAGTTAAAACTGCAATTTCATCATCTGTTGCCTCCAACCGTTACTACAGGACCTGTTCTGTCAATTTGGTCACAGCCTCAGGTCACGTAATAACTTTGTGCTGCTCAGAAACACCTGATGGTGATCAAGTACCCAGTGCGCGATGCGCTTGATATTCGCAGCTGCTCTGCAATACGTACTGTATATGTACTGTACGCACTGTACGTTTTCTATACACGCTTTTCTTTTAAAGGACCACTAAGGTTTCTTTTTTCAGCAAAGGATCTACGCAGAGTGAAAACGAAATAATATATTCAATTCAATTCAACTCAAGCTTTATTGTCCCCTAGGGGAATTGTGTTTTACGGCACAGTCAAACACAACACAATAACAAATAAACATCATCAAAAGGGAAGAGAATACAGTAGTGTTACAGGAGAAAAGAAACAAGAGACAAGGTAGTTACTCTGCATTGTATAAGAGTGTAATTGTAGTGGGAATGAATGATTTTCCGAGTCTGTTATATATATTATAATTTGCTCGATGTCAGTTGATGTGCTTGTAGATGCTCGGACCAAAATTAATAACATCGATAAAGTAAATCGGAAAGTCACTTTTAGCCCTGTTGCTGTTGTCTGCAGCAGCTACTCGAAGCCGTTCTCTGCACAGGATACTACAGGTGGAGTTTACTGTCGTTACTTCATGAGTCTTCGAAAAACTGCGCAGATTCTGCAGGTGTCTTTTGGCATCGAAAACAGAATACTAATTTCGTGGGTTTCATGCAAGTTTTAAAGCATCATGAAGGATCAAACAAGATCTTCAGAACTTAGTATTTTAATACCTTCGCAGTTTTTATTCTTACTCGATATTACCCTTGGGGCGATGCATTTATTCCAACCTCTGAAACCCATACGTGCGTGCTCGTTCTTCTGGTATGTTATGCTCAAGTCCGCTGAATATTTAAAGGCAAGGTAAAAGCTCCGTGAAGGTGCCCCCCCCTACAGCCAGCACAAACGATGAAACTCACCTCATTCGTTAGTACTACGTTTGGGCCGTTGAAAGTAGCGTTTGTGCTGCCTTCGTTTCAGAGATATCGCGCCTGGTTTATTCGGGGTCGTGACGTCACTCAGACCCCCTACAATGTCTTAGGGCCAGGCAAACCAAACCGGTCTCATTCGTTAGTGCTGCGTTTGCTGCTTTCGTTAACGCGATATGGCGCTTTGGTTTTCCGGTGATCACGTGACCATGCACGCTGACTTTGACCTCCAGTGACCCCGTCTGCCGAGTTCAAGCGCTCCGTTACAGCTCGTACCCTTAACATTTAAAAGACAATCAATTTCCATAAACATATGAGCCTCCTTAGGTGTGAATAATACTAAGACATGACGCATGCCAACAAGTTAACGATCTATGACATACACCTGTGGTTGTGATGTATGTAAAATCACCGTGATTGCAAGATCTATGGTTTTTATTTTCTAAGGCACGTTTTCCTTTCTTTCCCTACCATGACACACTGTTGCCAAACGCGTAACTGTGGGATACCATCGCGATAAGACCTCCGCAGCATGTCATGATAGGGTCCCCATATATATTGCAGGAATATCGCGGCATTGTATATGACGACTGGCGCCTGGCTTTCATGCCACCCTGGCACCGCTGTCACAACAAAGGTCTCATATCACGACATGATATACCCAGATAGGACGTGTCGCCATATATGGACTTTGTGTCAGGACATGGGGTCAGCATATGTCAGGGTATGTCCTATTGCAACATATGGACTCCATGTCGCGACATGGGGGCGGGGCATTTTGTCGGTGGTATGTCATATCGCGATATAGGGGCTTCATGTCACGACATGGGTGTGACAGTTTTTGTCATATCGCGATATATGGACTCCATGTCGCGACACTAGGGGGTGGGCATTTTGGCTGGGCATGTCATATCGCGATATAGGGCCTTTCATGTCGCGACATGGGGGGGGGGGACTTTTGCCGGGGTATATCATATCGTGATATGCAGACTCCCTGTCGCGACAGTGGCGCCATGACAGTGATGCGCCAGTCGCGATGTGACGGTGATGCGCGCACCCCTATCGTGACATGCTATCGGAGTCGTGAACGCGCTGTGGATGCCATGACATTCTTTGCCTGCTGTTCAGTTTTGACGTCAGTGCAACCTCTCTTAAATTGATCAGTTATTCGAAACCAATGGATGTGTTACTATATATCCAGCGTGCTCATATGACACACACGGTACACACAGAACTTCCGCAGTTGCACTTTATCCAATTAGAGTGTCGATTCTCACCTTCACCCAATCGCGGCTCGAACTCTTCGGGGGTTTAGCCAATCACGGGTCTGAGAGCTGTTCAAGCCAGCAGCGCCAGGTGAATCGGCTTGTTTACTGTCAATCAGAATCTATTTTTAAAATGCTTTACTTATTTGCAAAATAACTACATCAGCTTATTTTTTAACGTCTTTATTGATAAATAAATACATTTTTTATGTGTACTACAACGTTCTTCGCTGCTTTCTGTAATGAATACATGGTATTTGAACAAGTTTAATCGTATATTTAAGGTAGAGGAAACACCTTCTGCTTTGTAGTTAAAAAATGAACAGAAATGTAAAGGTTATTTATGATCATTATATTGTTATGAGCGTGCTTTCAATTTTGTTTTTTTAATTGTTAAATTTATCGATCTTGAAACTAATACCTAAAAATGTTAATATGGGCTCTCGTGTTGTACCAGCGGTAAATTGGAAACTGTTGTCTCTTCACCAGTGAAAGGAGTACACAGGCAATGCATATTCTTGAGCATGGTAAAACAATTAAAAGAAAACACCTAACCCAATGAACTAACACAGTAACTCCTCCCTAAATGTAAGACTGTTTATTCGTGTAAAGGCTGCAAAGTCTGGGGTCAACTGATCAAAAGATCACAATTGAAAGATCTGGCGGTCGTGTCTTTGCTGTTTTGTACGTCACAGAGAGACGTCACAGCCAGGAAAAAAAGGCCCTATATTGAAATATATTGAAACATCCACCCCCACCCGACCAGACAGACTCGGAAAACAAATTGCCCCCCATTGTTTTTGTTGGTACCTGTACATTCCCGGCACAAACGTAGCACTAACGAATGAGGTGGGTTTCATCGTTTGTGCTGTCTGTACACGGGGGGGGCACCTTCACGGAGCTTTAACCCTGCACGGTATTTTAAATCTGGACGGATTTTGAATCTTACGTTTTGCGTTGTGTTCATTGTGTTTCGCAATAAAATATTAAGATTCAGAGTAACTCGTAAAACTACTGAACAATCTAAAAGCAGGCAAACGAAATACCTAAAACTGTTACAAGCAACAAGTGAAAACGAGCTCTTGCAGCTTTTCTTTAGCTAAAGACAAAGTCCTCATATGAGAGACCTTTGCAAACTAGCTGTCATTTGAACGGGAATTTGCCGACTCTCCAGTGACGAGACTTTCGCTATATTCAATTCCAAGCCCTGACGCCTGCGTCTGATCTAGAAGGCCCAAACCTCACAACAGAGGTAGGCACCGATTGTTTTTTTACTCCGTTGGGCAGCCTAGGTAATTGTTGCTTAACCTGTGTGTGTGTGAGAGAGAGACAGTGTGTATATAAT